CCCAGGTTCTTTTGCGTGCCTCTCAGTGATGTTAAAGATGTGTACTATATGTTTTGCAAACCTTGGCTTGAATCACAGGTTTGTTATTTAGAAAAGGTTCCACCTCCCAAAGGCTTGAAAACCATTGCCAATTCCTCGTTCCTTGTGTCTCTGTTAAAATAAATCCCATAACTCCAAACTTCTAGGCTTTCATAAATGGCAGGTCTGACTCATGCATGATTTATAAATTATAGCCATGGACCATTAAGATAGATTTCTCAGCTCTAGGTAGGCTATCATGGTGTTATATATTGTGGTTTTGAATTTCTGAAGAAGCAAACTGCATAGTAGTTGACAACCCAAACAATTCAGGTTCCGTTTGCCCTTATAGAAGGCTTTTTTTTTTTAAAGCACATTTTTTTCTTCCACTTTCTGCTCCTTTTAGAGCTCTGCCTTATTAAAATCTTTACTTTTAAATACGAGTAGTCAGGAGTTCTTAATGCCACCTTGTACTTTATGGAAATGGTTATTTTTGTCTAAACATCCTACCGCTGAAGACAGATGAGTTTTCTTCTAATGGTGCTAACAGAGCGAAACAAACATTTTGGAATCTCACCTGTTGCCACAGTGTCAATTAACAGTAAGACTGAAGTTTCGCAAGTGCCAGGGCTTGGGAGTGGTCATTCATTCTGTGAGGGAAGAAGGCTGTGTGTAACGCTGTCTTAAGAGCACGCTGCACCTGAAGGAGGATTAGATTTTATTGTTTGCACTGCTCTCTTGAAAGCTTATCTTTGGAGCCTCCTATAAAAGAGAGACTAGGATCTAAGGGCTGGTGCCGGAAAGCAAAAGCTAACATGAAAAGAATCCAAGTCTCTGTCCAGTCCGTGAGAGTCTGCAGTGGTTCATGGACAAGAAATAAAGGAATTAAGGCAATGTCAGGGCTAAACAGAAGAGCATATTTCTCTTCTTCGAGCTAGAAATGTGTCCATAAAGCCTCTTCCCTATAGTGGACTCTCAGACCGAGAATCAATTGTTGGACCACAAAAAGTCTCTCAACATACACAATAATACAGTAATGACCTTGACCTTCTCCTTCCCCAGTCTTAATCAATTCTGCCTTAAAGACGGAAGAATTTTTTTAAGTTAAAAATATATGTACTCAATCACATTGAATTTTAAACGTTTTCTCTTTCAAGCTAAAACCAGGAGAGTCCTTTAAATAATCGGGGCCACTGTGTGGGGTGGTAAGGTGGGTGGTGTGCAAACAGGTAAACCAACCTGACTGACCTGCTTTCTTGTTTTTAAGTGTCCAGTAATATGATCATTTTGCAATAAATAACTGAGCCTATAGCTTTGGGAAATTCTGGGTCTCTGCTTCTTTAACTGTGGCTACTTTGTTCAGAATGTGTAGGCAGGGCCATTCCAGCCAAAGAAACCTGATCAAATTTCCTTCCTTCCCATCCTACTGGTATTCTTTGTGAAAAGCCCAAGCGGTTGTTTGAAACTAGTTTGGCCTCTGGTTAAAGTTTAAACTAGTAGTGAGATCCATCCAGAATGGAGTGTTTCTGACACTTTCTGCTGCTCCGGGCCTAAGGTACTAAGAGTATTAGACCCCAGAAGCAGCCAATTTTGTAGTGCCTTTTAATACACAAAATTGTATTAACATCAGCCTGGATACAGATGGATGCATTGCAATAAACTGTAACCACCTGAGAAAAGCCTTTATTGACTCTCAAGTAAATAATGCACATTTTAAAGGATCTAAATATGCATTTACATAATGTGCTATAATTTTTTATTGTGTCAACTACTCACACACACACATCCATAAGAGATGTTTTTCTGCGTCAAAAATTTGGACTCATACCATTTTTTCTGCATTGCATTAGCACCATGCCAGATTCACAATGGTATTTTCTCTTCTCTAGGGCCTGAGCTGACCATCTCAAAATACATTTAATGAATTTTGCTGATTGAATGATTTGTTGACTGATTTAACCCCAGTGACACTTTCTAAAATAATTTGCAACTACTTGGACAAAAACTTAGGCACACTGAAAACATCTAATCCAAGATAAAAGGGAGAAAACAAGAAATAGGGAAGGAGGAAAACCAAATTTAGACATGGCTGAAATCTTAAGTCTGAGCTTTAGAGCAATGGAAGAACCCAATGCAGTCTCATTGTTCAGGAAAAGAGTGCTGCTAGCAGGTTATCCAGAGAAATAGTGGGTATTTAATAATATTTAATAGTACTTTGTGATGTCTGTAACACAACTGTTTTCTGTTTGAAGAAATTAAAGCTCAGGATCTTGAATGATTTATATCCAGTTCCACAGTGGACTAATGGCTGAACCAGAATGTCCAAGGCATGAGAAAGTAGGGGTTGTGAAGGATGACCCTTCGCAGTGCAGACTCAGCACTTGTCTAATGTGAATCTACAGGCTAAATGATTTCCTGGTATTAATTAAGAATTAATTGATCCTTATAAATCAACCATTGTGGGATTAACTCCATATAGTACCATGTGTTCTTAGGTCTATGTTCAAATAAACTCTATGACCCAGGAAAAAGGTGAATAAATTGTTTTTAGTAAAATGTAATAAAGAAACTAAGGTCTACATTCAAGTTGTTAATTATTTTCTTTTACATATTTAACAACAGCAGCAACAACAGGAGGGCGAGGATGCTTATTAACAATTAAGGGAGGGATTCCACGGTCCTGTTGAATTGTTTCCTCTGTCAGGTTTCTCTAACTTTTATCTGTCTAGTCTTTGCTCAAGTGAATTTTTTCCCTTGGGCAGCATTCTTTGCTGGCCACCACAATTTCATAATCTCACAATCATTCATCGCTTTCCATTGAGCACCTGAAGCATTGCCGCTTTATCATTAAGGTCTGCTTCCTGGGGGCTCTTGACAATGGAGTTGCCACCTTTGTGTTTGACATGCTGTAAAAGTTGAGTGTATCATTTTGTTGCGCTCAGTACATTCCCAGCCTCATTTGGGAGATGCCACATTCCAGCTCTAACTAGAAACTATTCGGTCAAATGCAGGGCACTGGGTCAAAGCTTCTTGCTACCAGCAAAGATGACCGTACCATATTAGATGAAAAAATTCCTTGGGTTCTTTAAAGCACAATTTGCAAAGTAAGAGATGACCAGAGCCATTTAACTTTTTAGCTGCAGACTTTAACTCAGACAGTAATGGATTCCAAGATTTACCATTCAGTGTATGAAGCCCTAAGTTTTACCAGTTTTTCTACAAGCTCTCTGGCTGTTTGCCAGGTTAAAAATATTTTTTTAAGTTTATATTTATTTGTATGGTTACTTTATTAATTTCTGTACCACTCATATATTCAATCATTCATTGTACCATCAACAAATATTTACTGAGTGCCAGACACTGTTCGAGGGATATGACAGTGAATCATTAAATGGATGGAAAAGCTATTTACTAATATGGAGAAGAGAGAAGAGCCAGTATGAGGGGTGGAAGGTGACAAGAATTCTAGTTCGAATGGGTTATGTTCAAGATGCCCTCAATTATATGATTGAAGACAAAACTTTGTATTGTCTCAGTGTTGTATCCCAAGCCCATAGTAGGAGCCTTGGAATATTTTTGGATAGATTAAAGGTTGCATGAATGAAAGGATCCCATCAGGTCATCTGCAACGTATGGACTGGACTCTTGTTTCCACTCCAAACCCCTATTTCTACTCTTTAAAAACTACAGATGCCATTCTGAACCTCAGAGTCCTAGCCACTCTAATTATTAGTCAGAAAATGCTCCAGTCCTACAGATACAGTAGGGAACAAAAATCCCGTGTCCGGGGATCAATAGAGATGCATCCTTTTTTGACAGATGGGATGGTGGTAGAAAGTGTGGCCAGTCTCACTTAGTTGTTCTTCGTTTTATGAGTCACCCTCAATATTAGGAAAGTCTTACTTTCCAAATATTTGGGTATTCCTTTGTTTTCTCTTTGCAGGCCTTCTTGAGTTTAAAGATTTAAACTGCAAAAAGTAAAGGAAAAATAAATACTCCCATCTGCTTTTACTTGGCAGTTGTTTTTCTGGCCCTCATTGGGGAGTGAGAGCCGCCATCTCGGCGTTACTTGGTTTGAGTGTCTTCAGCCCTTCCCATGTGCTGTTCTTACCCTTCAGCAGGCTTCACGAATCACCCTTCCACTTCAAGGGCAGAAATCTTCCCAGGAAAAATTATTAAGCACCTCACATACGTTTTTTAAATCTAATGTAATCTTCTTCCTGTATCAGCGAAACTCAGCAGGGTTCAAATATAAGGGAATGATGGTTGTCTGAGCCTTTCATCAGTTTGTATGAGCAGAGGGCCAACAATTTAGCAGGGGTCACTGCCTACCTACTCAGCCTGTGGGTTCCCCTGCTATAACTAACATCTATGCGTTTCTGAGTTTGGCTTTGAAATGGCCAAAAAAAAGGCAACATAAACCTTCTACGTAAAATGAGGCACCCAAATTGCATGGGTTCATTAAGTGATCATTTACTACAGACTTCAAAAAATTTCATCCTGAATTAGTCCCTAGAAATTTCCTTGAAAGGAGTATAAGAGCTTTAACAATGAATTATTGTCTATGGAAATCTCAGCATGAAAGGGGATCCATATGTGCAAACTAGAATTTGTCATATGTAATGTCAGTTAAATCAGGTCTAATCTACCAAATACATTTTTTATTGCCTGCTTCATTAAAAAGGCTCTTAAGGTAATGAATAATCTTCAGCTTCACCAAGGATTATTAATGCCTTTATAACTCATGTCCACTGAAAATAGAAAGACAGTTTGAAACTCTACCCTAATCTAGCCTCCATGTTTGTCTTAGAGCTTTAAGGAAGAAAATCTATCAGACCTCTCCAGAGTTAAATGCTGTCACACGAGCAGTTACTAGGAATTGGGTCAGGAGAAGAAATTTTAAAAGGAAGTTGAATCCAGTTTAAAAGCTGTGGCAAAACAAGTCTTTCTCTTATTAACTCTGATGTTTTCTTTTCCTACAGCAAGTCCACATGCGACACCATCAACTCTTCATTTTCCAACATCACCCATCATCCAGCAGCCTGGGCCTTACTTCTCCCACCCAGCCATCCGCTATCACCCTCAGGAGACGCTGAAAGAGTTTGTCCAACTTGTCTGCCCTGATGCTGGTCAGCAGGCTGGACAGGTGGGGTTCCTCAATGTAAGGAAACTTCCTTTTTTTTTTTTTTTTTTTTTTCAATTTTTTAGAAATATTAACCGGACGTAAAAATAACAAGGGAAGACCTTATGACCATGTGACGTTGTGCTCTGATGTCGTGTTGACTGACTGCAGGCAAATGTCATATTTATTCTAGATTGTGGGAAAGTTAACTTACTCTAAGAGGGATTGGCCAGGGTTTAAAAACAGTGTTTGTGTTAACTTCGCAACTGTCAAGTTTATGGATATAAATCATCTCAAGGGTGAACTGTGTAACCTTCTAAGGTCTGTGGGCAGATAATTCCACCTCATGCATACTAACCCAAGGGCTCACGCAGTTAACAAAATAGAAAGACCAAATAGTTTTAAATAATGATTTTGGGTGGTAGGGAGAGGTAGGGGGAGGAGGGGGCACAGATGTTTCAGATCAACTAAGTTGATATTTTTAAAAAATAGTCCTCTAACACTTTACATCAAGTTGACCAGTACTTGAACTCAAGATTCTAGAAGTAGTTTATTATAGTTTGTTATTTCTGCAAGTAGTTATCTTTCCCACTTATCTTTGTATAAAGCTAAATAGTATTCAGTAGTTTCGAATGGAGGTTTTCATTTTTTCTCAAATAAACCAAATCACAATTTGAAACAATATTCCTAATGTAAAAGGGATTTTTTAAAATCACAAATTTTATTTCAAACATAGAACCAAATGTTTGCAATGGATAGCTATATCCCAAGGCCAATAATAATAACAATGAATTGGAAATAATGACCAGCATAAAGCCAAATGTGATTTTCCTTTTCTCCTAATAACTGTAATGAAGCCACAGATGGGCCATAATTATTATTGCCTAATTTAGAATATTATATCACACGACCCTATCACGGATTTTCTTCCCTCGAAGAAATACCTGATTCTGCATATCTGAGATAGAACAGGCAGCTTTGACTAATGTCTGGTGATGTGTTAGCAGATACATTTCTGTCTAGACAACAAATCAATATGGACCCTTTTTTCTTTTTGCTTGTGTATTCATTTGCTTGGCTTATTCTAAAGCATTCACTTATGGACTTTTAGCCCACTCAGAGATGACACACAGGCAAGTTTGCTGGCAAGAAAGCACAACATTCTGACTGTCAGATGAGATTGTCTTTGAGGAACAATACTAAATATATAAGTGAATGTTGATGAGGCAGTGATACTTCCTCTGCAGAATTACTAAGCTTAAACTTAAAAGCCTGGGCCAGCAACTGAATTTTGATTCAGGACTAGAGCCTAAATAGGAGCTGTTATTGTTGGTTGAATAGTGTCACTGAAGACCAGAGGCAGAAAGGCCACTTGGGAAGCCATGGAAAACTGAAGTGATCACCAGCATCAAGCATCTGACTTTTAAAATTTCTAACTCTTTTTTAGTAGTCCTGACATCATCCCATATAACTATCAAATGACCAGTTTTGCATTTTGATCAAAATTTTATAGGGTTTAAGGCAGGTCCTTCACAGGACTGTTTCGAAAAACTCAAAAATAAATGGATTTTATTGCTTTCTTCAGAAGGAAACTTTTCTTTTGTTAAAGAGCTGTTACTTGGTTGTTCTAACATCAGGCAGCCAGATAAATATGACTCTTAAGGCATATGCTTATATAATTTAAATCAAAATTAGAAGTGATATTTTTCCTTAGCAGAATTTTGACAGCTGAATTCTAAAGTTTCTGTGCCTGATGTTATACAATATGTGAAAGAAATTTTTTATGTTCACTTAACATATTTATTAAATGTTATATAATATCAACTTTGAAGAGTGAAAATAAAATATTTTTTTAATCTCAATTGCATATTTAGGAAACTTTGTTATATCTGTATAAATAGACGTGATGGAACAATTCCACAATCTATAAAACACTTATATATTAAATCAATATTCAATAATCATGAGAATGATGACAAAAGTCACAGTTAATACAGAATCAAAACATACCAAGCAAAAGTTGGCAGGTCATTTTCTAGAATCAGATGCAAAGAAGGTCAGAGTAGTTCAAGAGGTAAGTTTAGGATGCATTGAGCATGTGTGCCTAAGACTGTACTTTTGTGGAATGCCTTAAGAACAGCCCACAGCTCTTCATCCATATGCTCTTATGGAAGAATTCAAGTAGCTAGAATACTTAGTAATTTACATCAAAGGTGCCTAAGGACTCTTTTGTTTTCCAAAGTGGCTAATGGTTCTGTCTGTGTCTTCTTTCTCTTGTGCGTGTTTTGTTTGGTTCCCACCCTGGCAGCCCAACGGGAGTAGCCAAGGCAAAGTGCACAACCCATTCCTCCCCACCCCCATGTTGCCACCGCCGCCGCCACCACCGATGGCCAGGCCTGTGCCTCTGCCGGTGCCAGACACAAAGCCTCCGACCACATCAGCGGAAGGAGGTGCAGCGTCCCCCACCTCACCAAGTAAGTATGGCTGAGATGCGGCGCCGGTCGCCGGTCAGGCTCTGCACACGTGAACGCACACCTACGCCTGGCCCCTCACTGCATAGGCTTCAGTGAAAGGCACGATCCCCAGCGAAGGCTGTAGCATGAGTTTGCAGAACCAAGACCAGATCAGAGCAAACAGCACTCTAGGGTGCTACCAGCCACATCAGGTGTGGAAATGACTGGGTGTTTGGGTGGATGAAATGGTGTAACTACGTGCCAAGGGCTGAAGTCAAGATATGAAGTATTAAATTTTGCCTATTATTCGAGTGGCTTTGAATGCTGTCCTCATGATCATCAAACAGCATCTACTTTTATGGATTCTTATTAGAAAAAGTTCCTCATGCTTCTTAGAGCCCTGCCTTCCAGTAACTTACAATCCGAGAGAAATGCATTTGATGAGGTACCAAGGTTAATGCAACTCATCCATCAAATAGAAAAAAAGTTTAGATCAAAGTAACCAATTCAAAGGTGTGTACGTTGAACATTCGCGAAGAATAAGAGCCTGGCAGAAGGTCAGAGCCAGTAGCCATGGCAGCTGCATGGCTAGGCTTGGCAGAGGGAGGAGATGGAAGATGAAACTGGAAGGAAAGAGAAAAGAAATCTTGGCTTGTCTCTGAAAAGTGTGGGGACATGTGATCAGACAGTATAGGATTTCAAAACCTTTTGGAATAATGGGAATCATTACTTGATGAATTAGAGGGAGAACAGCTCTCCTGATGTTTTAAAGATGACAGGGAATAGAAGTAGCTTAAACACATAAATTTGGCTTTTCTTAGTACCTGAAACAATGACTAAAAGAGTGACAGCTGGAGGCAGAGTTCCCAGGTGATGGATGGACTACCTGACCTTGACGGGGGTGTGATGACCACCTTCTCTAAAGCTTTACAGAGAGATCAAAGCACAGGAAAGAATGGGAACTGTGACAGTGCCCCTAAGGAGAGGAGGTCTTCAAGGAGGTGAGGCTGAATGCAAGGAATCTACTGAGGAAAAGATGAGCATAGACCACGAAAGAAGTGTTAAGATCAAGAACTTGAGCAGCAGTTATAGAAGTTGAATGGAGGAGAGCACAAGAAGAAACATCTTATCGACATAAGCTTTGGGATTGGACAACCACTTGGATGAATATAGTGAAGGATGATTCAGACTTCTCAGCACTGGGGACATAATGGTATTGAGTATAGGACGGAAGGAGCCAAAGAGAAAAAATGAGCCTCTTGTGACACTGTGTTCATTGGATTTAATTTTGGTGACACTGAATCCCAAATGTCTAGAGTCTCTCTTGGGCATGGATGAGCTTTGGGCTATCTAGTACGTATTCACTTCGATAACACATGTAGCAGTGAGTGGCCCTGTGCATGGATTCTGGTTTCATAGCAAAAAGATTGAGGGTCTAGGGCCAATTTTGGGGAGGCTTACCTCTCTTGGTAAGAGGTGGTTCAACACTTTTCAACAAAGGAGAAAACTCTTGAGTGTCCAGTGACATAGGAAGCAAACTAGGCTTGCTCTAAGCATCTTGGAAGCTCAGCTTAGAAAAGAAGCTTCTGAGAAGCAGAAGCTCATAGGCCTGTCCTGCTTATTGTGTATTCATGTAACATCTTCAAAGGAGTCAGAGAAATAATCATCTCCAAACTCTATTTAGATCTAGTCACTGGGGATGTTGACTTACACATTGGCAGCCATGTGCTTAAACTGTGCTCTGTACATGCCTCTGGGTACCACTTTTCTGTTCATCTTCTCTCTGTATGTTCAGGACACTGGCAGAACCCTCAAAAAGCTTTGTTTAATGTTCTTTTTATTCTGTGTAGACATATCCTCACCTCCACCATCAATGTCTCATGCATCTGTAGCGCATTTTCCAGTAATGGGGATGGGGCTTTTCTGAGGCACTGTGGACGAGTGGAAATACCCTGGGCAGCTAGCTGTTGAAGTCTAAAGGACAGGGGCTCAAACCCTCACCTTTCACACTGCTAACTCTATTTCTCTATCAACCCCAGTTTCCTCATCTGTAGAACGTGGGTGATAATACCTAGCTGGCAGGGTTATGTGAAATCAGCCACGATAAGCACTACCACCAAATAAATTGGAGCACTTTATTATCTGCCAAAACTCTTACCTAGTGGAAGCCTCTAGGCTTGGCTAATGAAAAAATATTCCTGTAGGACATGTAGAAGCTACTCAATCCCTCAATCAGGTTGATACCTTTGGGTCCCTTCCCTGGACTCCACTCCATGGATTGGATCTAATGCCTTGTATAAAAAGATACCCATGGTCATCTTGTGCCCAGCCTCAAGCATTCTTTCAACATGATGGGAAGAAGTGTGGAGGGGGTCTGGGCAGATCCGGTTATGATTGCATGTTCATTAGCACAGTGTTTAGAGATTTTTGGAAAGAGAATATCAGGAAAGGGGACCCAAAGTTTGATATTTACATAATAAGTTGAAACTTACTTTTTGAATCCTAGAATTCTAGGAATGTAGACAAAACAAAGTGTTCTACTGATGGCATAGAAAGGTTTTTATCATCATAAATCTTAGCCTTTTTGGTCTTTTCTGGGGTTTGCTGAATTCACAGTCATATGTTGTTTCACAGCAATTATCACCTGACCATCTTCTACTTTATTATTAAGACAGTGATATTCTGGGAAACTGGTAATTTATAGCATAAGAGAAGCCTCTCAAGTTAAAAATCTCAAAGCCTACCAGTCCGCATTGGGAAGAGATTTAAGAACCCCTGGAAAACAAATCCTCTTCCATGCCCCAATTTCTGAACTAATTGATAAATAAAATACAAGAAAAAAAATCAGATGGAAGACTAGACTATAACCTCTACTATTAGGAAATTTATTTTTTAGCTACAGGCAAATGTGCTTCCTAATGCTGAAACACAAACCCACCCAGTCGCTGGCAGTGCAGGACCACCGCAGGCCTTCCCGTGGGAGGGGGCGGCCCTCCTGTGTAGAGCTGATGGAGGTCCAGGTGGCTCTGTGCTTCCTGGCAGCACCTGTCTCCCTAAGGGAAAGAGGAGAGGAAGGGGTGGGACGAGTCACGTCCAGTGTCTACTTCCAATCGCTACAATAAGTGAGGGAGTGGAGAGGCCCAAGAGTGTATGGGAGGGAAGAGATACCAAGAGTGATGTAGCCCCTCTTCCTTAACATTCATCTTTGATAACTACCTTCTTTCATTCATTTATTCATCCTTCATATATTGAGTATCCGTCATGTGCCAAGGACTGTGTTAGCCCCTGGGGATACAAAGATGATTCATCCCTGCTCTAAAGAAATGTGGGATTTATTGCAGGAGACAGCTGGGAAACGGGTAGCTCACACTGACAACACTGGGACAGAGGTGCACATAGGTGCCACGAGAGACTTGGGAGGGATTTGGGTCCAGATGCGGAGCCTCAGGTAAGATTTTTTTGGAGTGAGTGACTTCTAAGCTGTTTAGTAGGAATATCATTCTGGTGTTTTAAGTCTGAGAGAGAAGGTAGAACTTCTCTTCAGAAACCAGCTTGTGGGTGGAAGGAGGGGGTGTCTAAAATTGGATTACCACTGGATAAAAATTTAGAGCCAAAGTATCATTTCATCAATTCTGTGCTTTCTTAGAAATTAAAACCACAGGATGGTTGGATCCTGGTTATCTTTGTCAGTTTATTAGAGCTCAACTTTAGCGAGGAGAAACATCACAACAGAGTATTAAGTACAGATGTTCAGTATCCCAACAGTATGTCTGAAACTGAGGCTTTTTCAAAAACACTCACCGTATAACCTAGGACAGCCTTTCCTATTGAGGGGTTTAAGATGACTTGCAATAAAAAAAGATTTAAAAAATAAAAGTAGGAAATCATACCCAGGCTCACCTATATTACCAGCTTTCCCGGGCCTGGACCCCCGTGTCTGTTGGAATAATACTTTGCTGTACGCACTTTCATAGGTAGATTGTCGGGATGAACTGGGGTGACAGATGTGCTGTGCTACAGACAGTTAAAAGTCCAAGACATCATTTTTTAATATGCTCTTATAATGAAATACAAATGGATACCAGCCTAAAGCAGAATATACACTTTTAAACTAATCTGTTGCCTCTGGCACCAATAGGCAACTTTGCAGCTGTGGCCAGGAAAACAGGGTAAGGCAGATTTGGGGAGGGACATGTTTGCCTATAAAATAAATATATTTTAATGGGAAAAATCTTTACCAGTGCCTTAAAAAACAGAGTAGCAAGGGTGGAAATAAAAGTTCTGCTGTCTCTCAAGGAGGACATTCATACTGTTGATTCGTTTGGAGAAAGATTGATATACTATGCCTGATCTCTTTAGGATACCATGACAAATAGAAAGGATAACTGGTAAGAGTAATTCACAATGGATGGGTTCCATTCCCGCTGATTAACTGGGTTTAGATACCCAGTGAGAGAATATCACTTCCTTCATTCATTCAATAAATTGTTATTGACCATCCACTATGTGCCAGCAGTGTTCTAGATGCTAGGATTCTGCAGGAAATGAAAGAGATAAAAATCCCTGATCTTGCAGAGCTTTCATTTTACAGAAGGAAGAAAGGCGATAAATAAAATAATAAGTATAATAGGTAGGAGTGATGTAAAGTGGTGATACATAAGTGCTACGTAGGAAAATGAAGCACAGAGGGGTTGGGATTAGTGGGGGTGGGATACAACTTAAATAGGATGGTTGGAGAAGGCCTGTCTGAGAAGGGGAGATTTGAACAAAGGTCTGACAGAGGTGAGAGGGTGAGCCATGAGACTGTAGAGGGAAGAGCTTTCCAAGCAGGAGGATCAGACAGTCCAGCCCACATGTTTAAGGAACAACCCGGAGGCCAGTGTGGTGAGAGCAGAGTGAGTGAATGAGTGAAAGTAGGGGGAGGCCAGGTCTGAGGGGTAATGTGGATGAATGTGGATGTGACTGGGAGATGGCCGGGGGGGGGGGGGGCGAGAGGGCGTGGAGGAAGGAGGTTCTTATAG